CCGCTCGGAGTCTCCCAACCGTGAGCGCAGTGACTTTGGGGGCAGCAACACCCAGCTGTGCAGCAGCAACAACCTCTACACTCCTGACTACTCAGTCCATATCCTCAGCGACGTGCAGTTTGTAAAGGTAACTCCCCGGGTGGACCGTCCCTCGATCCTGACCGCAGAGGCGGCTGGGGGTCAGGATGTGCATCCCACTCCCCTGTGATCCAAGATAATGTGACGATGAGGTTAAACCTCAGAAAGCCAGAGCCCATGACTCTTGTCCCCATGGCTTCCAGCCTTGAAGCCCTCTCATCGCAGACCTTCCTCAGAAGTGGAGGTAGGAAAAAATGGGAGAAGAGAAAGTCCAATATGCTAACTCTTATGGTTGGTAGTACTGGCCACATGACTTGTGGGAAAAGACATGGGAAGTGACAATAGAGTAAGTGGTTCAAATAGTTACTGAACGCCTGCACTGCGCTTGGCTCTGTCCAGGCATTGGTGAGTTACGGGAGCGAACAAGACAGCAAGCTCCTGCCTTTCTGTACCTTCCATGCTCCTAGGGCAGCGATGGCGAACCTATGACACGCGTGTCAGAGGTGACACGCGAACTCATTTTTTTGGTTGATTTTTCTTTGTTAAATGGCATTTAAATCTATAAAGTAAATATCAAAAATATAAGTCTTTGTTTTACTATGGTTGCAAATATCAAAAAATTTCTATATGTGACACGGCACCAGAGTTAAGCTAGGGTTTTTTAAAATGCTGACACGCCGAGCTCAAAAGGTTCGCATCACTGTCCTAGGGGAAGAAAGATGATTAACAGGTAACCACATAGATAAAACCCAGGTAATTTCCAGGTAATGATAACGATGATGAAGGGAATATACAGGGCGGGGGATAAACTGAGGCTGCTTTAGAAATGGTTGTCAGAGCAGGCCAAGCAAGGGACATTTTTGCTGAGACCTGAAAGGGAAGGTGGGGAGAATGTTCAAGACAGAAACAGCAGGCAGGAAGGAGCTGGGGGTTCCAGGGTCTGAGTGCAAAGGCAGAGGCTGGTGTGAGATGAGACTGGAGCATTAGCAGCAATGTCACCTGGCATTTTAGGCCAGAGTGAGGCCTTTGGATTCTCTTTGAATTGGGAATTTTTGTTAGGTTTGTTTCTCAGGTCTTTCCATTTGTCTTAGTTCACTTGGGGTGCTCTAACAAATTACCACAGACTGGATGGCTTAAACAACAAACACTTACTTCTCACAGTTCTGGAGGCTAGGCGTCCAAGTTCTGGGTGTGGTCAGATCCGGTGTCTGGTGAGAGCCCCCTTCCTGGTTAGCAAATGAAAACCTCTGATTGGAATGGTTGGTTCTATACAAGGAATTTGAAAATTCAAACTTAACACAGCTTTTGTTTTATGTCGCTGTTGGTTTCTCTTTTGTTTTGTTTTTTAATGTAAGTTCAGATGATGCTTTAGATCAGCGGTTCTCAACCTGTGGGTCGCGACCCCTTTGGCGGTCAAACGACCCTTTCACAGGGGTCACCTAAGACCATCCTGCATGTCAGATATTTACATGACGATTCATAACAGTAGCAACATTACAGTTATGAAGTAGCAACGAAAATAATTTTATGGTTGGGTCACAACATGAGGAACTGTATTTAAAGGGCCAGAAGGTTGAGAACCACTGCTTTATAGACTAAAGTTTAAAATCTCCTCCCCCTGATTTAATGGACTAGTTAGGACCATGATGTAGGCTCTTTTACTGACCTCTCCCACCTGCCCCCCCCCTTTTTTTTAACATAAAGAGAGTCTTTGAGGAACCTAGACAGAAGTTCGTACAAAATGGGTGTTTTTATTGGTGGAAGCCCCTGTGACTGGCTGCGGGCAGTTTGTGAGGGCTTTCCATGTCCAGATAGAATGAAGTTCCAGAACTGGTTATAAAGTCCAGGAGTAAATCGACTTCACAATATGTTACAATATTAGATAGAAAAGATGCCTAGATTATCTGGGAAAGATATTAAAGCTGTGATTAATAGTGGTTAATAAGCTATGAAGATATCAAAGAATCCTTATGCTTGTTTTTAAAAAAATGTGTTTTGTAAATGTCATTATTGAACTAAGGACATTTGGCTAATGACATAATCTGACTCGTGTGACTGCAACCAAGATGCCTCATCACCATCTGGTGGCAGAATCCCTAAATTGCAGGATTGTGTTTTGAGGGATGAAAGTTATAAAATGATAGGAGACATCACACTGGTTAAAGGTGAACTTCTGGCCAGGGCGCTGAAAGCCTGCTAACTCTCAAACCTTGGGCAAGTGCGTCAACCTTCCTAGACCTCATTTCCTTACTCGTAATATGGGCCGTAGGAGACCTCTCGCACCCACCCCATACAGTCATTATGACAAGCAAAGGTGATAGCACATACCTACATGCTCTGTAAGCCATTGTGCACTATATAGTATATATATATCCCACGTTCAAAGGCTGTTAAATCGTGTTGTTTACCCATATCTTCAGGAAAAAAAACACTCTACTGTCGTGGTAAACAACCTGCTTCCCTATTTATAATGGTCTGGCCCTCTAGCAACTTCAGCGTGAAATTATAGCTACTTTGCCTACAAATGTCAGGTGGTCATAATAATCTGGCCACTCAGTGTAGATAGAAGGTTCTGTCCTCATATCCCAACCTCTACCTGCAAAAGCACGCCCTTCTGGGTAACATTAGCACTAGAGCTTTCACCAACGTCTGAGAACCTAATCTCTAGTTCCATCTCTTTAGGATATTTATAACACTTCCAATAGTATATATGTTATATGATTTCAATAAGTAAATACTTCAATTATGTTTTAAGTTAGAAGTTGAAAAGAGACTATAAACCAATTTGGTAAAAAAGTTATCAGGAATGAGTTTGATACTGAAAGTAAATAGAAATTTATCTGTGAGCTCCCTGGTCATAAAAGCAAAAAAGCAGGAAGTTCCCATCATAATTCACCTAGAGAAAGGAGCTTCTTTCTGGCAATAATTTCTTGAAGGATAGAACTATAGAAGGCTTCAAAAAACACACACATATTGGCTTCATCTGCAGTTTTGCCAGAGTTCATGTTCTTCACATGGAGGTTTCTTATTTCAGCCTTTGACACAAGCTGGGGGTCTCGTTCTTGCCAGGTCCCCACTGACTGACCCTTAGGAAGAGGACTCTTGGCAATAGTATAAGCCAGTGTGTGCCGCGCCTGCACAGCCAGGTTCAGTGAGCCTGAGAGGAGGTGGTGAAGGATTGAGGAAAGATAGACAACAGAAGAAAGCTGGGTCTGGGTGGGATGCTGTCCTCTCTGATGGAAAGCTAGCGACAGTGCCACAGCCTGCAAGCCGAGTCTTTATTTTATAACCAGTTTCCACGAGGCAAAGTAAGGGTGTGGTTCAACGTTCTCGTTCTCGTGGGTTTCAAATCTACTCAGTTACATGCACCTGCTCAAGCTTTGTTTACTTGTTGCACCTCCCACAGCCTATATCACTTAGCCACGTGGGACCACAGGTTTGGACCATAGGTTAAAGCTTACAACTATACTACACTTGATCTTAGCCAAAAGGCCGAGAAGCGATCAAGCTTACAACTATAGTCTTTGGCTATAATTGTGCTGGGACTTGCACGTGGCTTTTGCCACGAGAGGATCATGCCCTCTCATTAGTCCCAGGCTTGAACTTGTCCAAATGCTGTAGCCGCTCTCCACACCTGTGTTTTAAACCTCTCTGTGGGCAACCACCCTGCTAACTGAAGATGCCCTCTGTCCTCTCCAGGGTCTCAAGTAAAGACTTAGCTCCTCCAGGTGCACTTTAAGAGTCCAGAGCCAGTACTCAATTGGCTGGGCGTTGTCCCGTGCAGTGAAAGGTTGCCGGTTCAATTCCCGGTCAGGGCACATGCCTAGGTTGCTTGACTTAATCCCCAGATGAGGGCATG